GTCATAGTTAACCCAATTACGTCAACAACCGTACGAGCCAACGAACGTGTGTTCTACCCTGTTTCTATACGCGATCCTTGATTCTCCAGATTCGCAGTCTCTTTCGAGAATAGATTACGAGAAAATATTTTTCGATGCCTCTGGTTATCTCCATTCCTCGTTCTCTCTCACTTCCCCGTTCGTTCGCGAAATGGACAAATAAAGTCGCGGATTCCTTATCGAAGTATTGGTAATTTTCTGCGACGTGGAACTATAAGGAGAAACGAAATAGAAAAAGGACGCAACGAAGCGACATTTACGAGATCACAAAGTTTATAACTTTTTCAAGACGTTGCTGAGGAGGCCATGACATGTATATTATACAAACTGTACAAATCGAAAAAGGAAGAAATTGCTTTATTCTTCTTACGGAACGCTGTAAATCATTCATCGAACAAAAGAGCCGTTTGAGTTAATCATCGAGAGAACGAATTAGGATTGTCTATTTTATTATATTGCGTCAATATTCGTTATAATGATATTGTTAAATCAGTTGGCACAGAGAAGCATTAGATTCAGAAACGCGATGCTTATCGTATTATGAATTAAGAAGTGTGCTCTGTCAAAGCGTGCGATGACATCGTCGTTTATCCTAACGATAATGTCGCGATGAAAATTTTGATCGTTGGAAAAAGAAAGAAAGAAACGTAGAGATGTATTTGGCAAAAATTTGATATTTTATTTCGATTTGTTTCTTTTTCATAGTTCCACGCGAGATATTTGCAGCAGCTTCTGTGTTGCGACATCGACGATAGGCTAATCCCATTTAGACGTCGCTCTTCGGCAAATTGAATTTTCCGTGGCACTTCTCTATCCGAACTCTATTCCGGATGACGCGAAGCCAAGACGAGGATTCCCTGTCCACAATTTAATTTAGAATTGATTTAATTCAGTGGAACATCGAGACAAAAGCATCGAACTGTACAAACTCATGCGAGCCGTTCAAAGGATAACGATCCTCGTGAAATTCCCTATTCTGAAAGATGGCTAACGAAAGACATTAGGCGTGCATATATTCTCAGGTAGAAATAATAATTCGTAATTAGACATTATTATTTTTTTTTTTTTTTTTTCGAGAGAGAGAGAGAGTCGTAGAGAAAGTTAATATTTAAATACGGAGGAACGAGGGAAAAGTCCTCTCGATGGTATCTTTGCAAGAAAAAATCATCCAAGTTCTACGTCGATTAACGTTTTCTGCAGTCGAAAACGCTTTGGTTATTTTCGATCGATGACGCAGTGCCGTCCGACGACAAATCGAGAAAAGATGATGGATGAGAAAATAAAATAAAACGGAAGCAACGAGGAAGAGAAGTAAATTAGGACGAACATCCCGTTACTTTCCTCGTCGACTATTTTTAATAAATGGACGGAAGAGGCAACCTGATTAAAAAACTCACGAGCAAAGTGTCGAAAGAAATCGTCTTTTATTTTTAATCGAGCAGCAGCGTACTTGAACGTACTTGAGCGTACTAGATCGACCGCGACGTGTACCGTCGATAGAAAGATCGAGCGCAAAGACGTCTCCGTAATTCAATCTTTCCAATACACGTCCCTGTGCGATCCTTCTTCTTTACCATAGATCGATTTATCCTCCCGTTGAAGTTTGATTTATGACGAGCATAGCGAAGATCGTGAAATTTAACATATCGCACGAAGGATAAAAGCAATTAACGAGCAAAACTTTGTCGAGTTTGCTAATGGATCGGGCTCTGTTATAATAAGATCGTAGTAATTAGCCGAGTATAGATATTCCCGTTAATCGAAATCATTTATTAACAAGCAATATTATTGGTCGTCGTATGAAAATAAAAAATTCATACCAAAAGATTCGAGTATTAAGAATCGAAAAACTCGCGAAGCTTCGACGAAAGACATTTTCAAGATTTATCGTCGAAGAACCGAGTGTTTTTTTTCTTCTTTTTTTTTTTTTTTTTTTTCCTTTAGCGAAGCACAAAATAGAAGGAATATCTTTGCGTTTCGTCTTGAAATCGCTCGCGAACGCGTTTCAGAGCGATATGAGAAAAAGGAGACGTCTCGATGAAAAATGTATTATATAGTCGCGAGAAAAATTTGAGACTATGGCCATAGTCTTAAGGAAATATTCGATTACCTACCGTTTTACGTAAGTAAGACAGATCATTCTCTCTTCTTTCGAGGGAAAGAAACGAATTTTCAGACATTTCACTCTATCCGTTCCGTATCGCATATTTTTTTCTTTTTTCTTTTCTCTAACGAGAACTTTAATCGAATTAATAACGAATCAGATACTGAAATAATGACATTTTCGATAGCCTACGTGTTATTGTTTGAACATTGATAGCCTGGACAATAGACTGATGGTGGATGTATAGAATACCTATCGTGTAATTGCAAAAGGATGAGCTGTAGTAATTAGTATTCAACGATCCGGATATGGTTCTCTGTTTCTCTTTGTCTATCATTAAAACGTTCAAATATATAAAGACAAAAGCGAATAATATTGGTGGTCAAAGCTAAAAAGGAATCCTCGAAGCTTTCCGCCGTCCGTTATTAACTTTTGACGCGATCGTGCGATTAACACGAAACGATTTTCAATCGGATAAGAATCATACGATAAATTGCACATCCCTCGCGCTCTCTTTATGGATTATCGTTTCGCGCGCATATGCATATTACGAATGCGTATGCTTACGTACGCTTGAACGTACTTCGATACGATTTATTACTTGCCGATATCTTCCTAATGCGTTTCATTAGCTGAAACAATTAACTGCTTACAGACGCGGATAATTTGGCCGGATATCGACGAGAGCATCCCATCAGCTTCTGCTGCTCATCCTTCGATTAAAGCTTTTACCTAGGCGCGAACATTTCGAAAATATATACGAAAGAAATTGTAAAGATAACCTCGATAATAATAATAGTAATAATAGTAATAATATTAAATAATTGGATTTATTTTAGAACGCGTCTTACTTCGTAAAATGATCGTTCAACCGGCGAGACCTGTTGCTATAATCCTAACGATCGATATCGTTGCTTAGTTATTTCGCGACGAGCGAAAATATTATTCTTCTCGATCTTCTTCCTTTTCTCTCTACGTTTTCGAATAAATAAATGCTGTCGGATAATTCAGAATTACTAGTTAGGATTGCATAGGGTCGGTTGTCAAAAATCAACGTCGACCAAACGAAAAGCAAAAGGTTCTGAAAGGTTTTCACGATTACTCGCTCGGATTTTAGGTATTTTCTTTCTCTTTCGTTCTCTTCTCTCTCCCTTTTTGTTTGGAGCGTGCCTTTCCCATGCCTCGAATAATTTCTCGTACGAGTCTCAAAGGAGAAGTTTCCCTCTCTAAACACGAACGAGCAAAGGAAAAGAACGGCTTGTAAGCCGCAAAATTCCCTTCTACGTAAATCATGCTATTTTTCCCTCCAAGCGACGTTTCAACAGTATCTTTTTAGTATCTTTTTAACAAAGTCGCGTTTCCTTGCACGTCGTATCTATGAACAGTTTCTATCTCTTTCTATCTCGGTTTCTCTTACGTCATTCTTTAATAAACGAAAAAATATGTAAAAATCAAATTATACGAAATAATTCCCCTAAGCCAGATCGAAATTCGATCTGCGTCAGATCGATTCCGCGAATATTTTTTTTCCGCGCGATAAGCTTTTCAAGTGGCTTAACGCGTATCCCTACTTTTTTCCTTTCATGACGATCGCACTAGCGATAAATTCGATTCTCTCGTTTCCAACGTCAAGGTTTTCCTCGACATCGACGACGCTAGGAGATCGTCGGAAAATTCTTTAAAGGCGGAAGCCAAAGTGGCGGCATTAAAAGGCTTCGGACGAAAGTGAATTGGCATTAACGTCGAAAAAGGTAAACGCCTTTGGCGTTCTTTCGGCATTATCACGTACCATACGACTTTGCCCGTACATTTCTTAATATCGAGTTTGTCGATCGACCAATCGATTCTTTTCGAATCTTGAATACTTTTTTTTCTTCTTTTTTTTTTCTCTCTCGAAAAGTAAGATCTCGAGATGATCGAGAAATCGTAGGTTGAAAAAAGGAAGACTCAGATCGTAGCACGTAGACGTTACGTCGAAAAAAGCTTTAAACTCAACCAGCTCGGAATCCGGCATGGGAATCGGTCGGAAGGAACACTCGAAACGTTCCATTTTCTCCTTTCGTCTTACAGCTTTTACAGTTTCGAGAGAGCTCGTTCAAGTTTCGAGGAGGTAACGCGCGCAAAAGCTCCTTTTTCGATCGTTCGACAATTTTGTGGGAAAAAAATCAAATAACCGTAACTTATCGTTATTTCACGAATGCCTCGTTAACTCGTAGAAATACTAAGAAATACTATTGTTGCCAATGTAATCGTATTCAGTCAACAGTTTCTCTCGCGCATCTCGACCTTGAACATCTCTCTTTGTCGACTTTGCGCGAGAAGGTTCGCTAGGTTGTAATCTTGAGTCATCTCGAGCCTCTTCATTAATATCAGGTGCGGTCACGTAACGCGGGATTATCTTCGGCGAAGGCGGCACATGAAATGCAGCTGGGAATTAATTAAAACGCATGAGCCCGGACGATCGCGTGACCTTGCGAGCCGGATGGATCTCTACCGGATGGGGGTGGGGGGAAGGGGCCACGTCGACAGGATCGATGGATGGACGTTCGCTTTGCCTTTCCTCCCCCACATTTTTCCTCTCCCATCCCCTTTTCTTTTTTTCCTTCTCCTTAACCTTCTTCGATCGATTTTATACAACGTCGAACGTTGGATTTAATAATACGTCGAGCAAGGACGTACACGTATGCAAAGGATTCTCCTATCTTTCTGATCGATTTCCACGCGTGATCGTTTCTACACGTTGAACGTAATAGAATTAATTTATTTTATTAAGCCCGCAGAGACACCATGGAAATTGTTAGCGTCGATGCGGTAAGCGATAGTATCGCACGCATCCCGTTTGTTTTTCTTTTTTCAGATTTACTACGGCAGCATGATCCCTGGGAACTGCTTTCAAAGTGCCATTTGCCGAATATCGCGCTATATCGAGCTTAACAACGGAACGAGGCTCGATGCCTTCCACGTTCCCTGCGCGATGTGTTGTAGTGTCTAAGAACAATAGTGACGGACAATATTTTGTGCTCGAGAATAGAAAGAGATCGGACACGATCGTACGACAAAGTGATCAGCGACGATGCGAGGTGGACACGTTGGCGGACGTGAGGAAGCTCATGGAGGAAAAGTATATTTCTGCGAATCGACGAGAGTACGAAGCGTCATCTTCCTCCCGAGGCCGTACGTCGAGTTTATTCAATTAATTCGATTTGAGTCGAATTGAGAAGTTAAAAGGATCGAGGAAAGAGCAATGGGTAGTTGGCCGAGGAGATCGTGCGGACTCGCACAAATGAGTATCGAGATGGCCGAGAAGGCTTAGATCGCGGGAAACGTTCGAGAGGAAAGTTTTGAAAGCGGGGTAAAAAGAAGAAAAGGGACAGAGCTACAAATTAAAAAAGTAGAAAAGGTAAGAGAAATCAAGAATGGAGTCGACAAAGTTGGGCGGAGCCGCGCCGACCAGCCCGAGAGCCCACTCGCCCGCTTTGCCGAGCTATTGTACCAGCACGGACGGTAACATCGATTACATCATCGGCGACTACATGGAGCGATTGGGCACGAGACTCAATATCCTCGAAACCGAACTAAAGTACGCGTGGAGGGCCCTGGATTTACTCAGTCAGGAGTACATAAAAATGTGGGAGAGATTAGAAAAATTGGAAGGTCTTTTGTACGAGCAACAAACGGTGATAAGTCAGTTGATCGAGTTTTACGCGAGCGGCGGCGGAGGCGGCGGCAGCGGCGTCGTCGTCGGCGTCGGCGTCGGCGTTGGCGTTGGCGTCGGCGGACACGAGAACGGCACTGAGGTAGCCGAGGATACGTTGGCCGATCAACAGGATTCCGTCGGCGAATTGGACGCCATCGCGAAGAGTTTGAACGCGGCAATAGGAATGGAAGAGACGAGCGCGTTGAGAGAGAAACTAACTCAACAGGAATTGGCTAGGATGCACGGTCTAACGCAGGACAGCGCGACCGCGAACGCCGTGGTAACGGACATGCACAGGAACGTAAGAAATTTGGAGACTCTGGAGACGCTCGAGGAGGAAGAGGGCAATATACCGGACGAAGCCTTCTATCGTAGCCTGAACAACGCCTATAGGGAGGACTTGATATGCGGCGACACTTCGAGGCCTACCTCGCAACTCGGTATGATATGGGAGGAGGCCGAGGACGAGGACGTGAACGGTAAAAAGGAAAGCGAGATCGATATCTTCGAGAAGGATTCGCCGAAGGAAAAGGAGGCGGAGGAAGAAACGTCGACGCAACAGACCAAAGAGGAGATTCAAGCATCGGCCACGAAGAAGGAGGACGAGGCCGACGAGGACGAGGGTGAAGTATTTAGCGCGGCCGATTACAAAAGCTATCGAGGCAATACTCCTTGCGTAAGCGAACAAGACCTCGCTCAACTCTCGAGACTTAGCTCGATCGACCAGGTAGCTTTGGAGAAGCTCCACGAGCTCGACCGATTGACCAGTAAATTGCAAAAGGATTCTCAAAATCTGATCGAACTGCAGTCGCGATTGATAGAGTCGCCAAAGCGCCGATACTCGTCCGAGGCCGAGGCAAAGCTGGCCGAGGAGGCGAGCAGCATAGACGAGCAATTGCGAAAGATCTACGCGGAAACGGACGTGGACAGTTGGACGTTCTCGAAGAGTCCCGGATCAACGGGCAGATCTTTGTCGAGGGTCAGTACCGACAGCGGCCTCGCGACCGACGGCGACTTTACCACGAGATCCATCTCGCCGAGATTAAGTTCCGCTTCCAGGAACAATTTGGACTCGATCTCGAGCACTTACACGCCTCCTAGATTGGGATACAGCTCGGCGGTCCTAGAGAAGAGTCCCGAGCCGGTGATTCAGTTGCCCATCGACGTGGGTAACTTCGCCAAAGGCTATGCGGAGAACAAAGAATTGACCGATCTGATGGCCGAAAGTTTCGCGGCGGTCACCTGCGCCTCGCCCACCATTTACAGTACCACCACCGACAAAGTACCGTCGCCGACGCTCTCGGTCGGGAGCGTTCACAGCGTTCACAGCGTCCAAAGCATTCGGACCAGACAAGACGGTTACTTTGGTAGCTCTGCCCGATTGAACTTGGACTTTCAAGAGAGTAGAACACCGCCGAGCCCCTCGCCGAGCTCTCCTCCGCCTCCGGCGCCGCGAGATTCGACCGAGTCCTTCCTAATGCCTACCGCGACGGAGGACGAAACGAAAGGATCTCAAAGTCCTGGAGGTTACTTGAGGAATACCGAGAAACTCGTGTCCCTCGATCAAGGACGGCTGAGCCCGCGTACGCCTCATTCCCCTAAATCCCCGAGAGTATCGCCCAAGCATCTGACGAAACCGGTCAACGCGGCCAACATAGCC